AATGGTCGAACGAAAAACAACAAAAACGAAGTAAAATAAAACAACACTACCAACATAACGAATCAAAGGTCCAAGGAAAAGACACACACGCATACGAGACCTTGTAAAACAAAAAAAAAGACAACCAAAAAAAAGATATTAACCATTAGCCCAATTCACCAAGTAAACACAGAAATATACACCAACTATGGGTATAAGTCTATATGTGTGTATATACGCAATTATAAATATAAATTCATCTGTTATTATTATTTCTTTTTCACTGCAAAAAACAGTTCATCATTATCACAGTGCACGCCACCAGGCACACAAACAGAGAGAGTCTTCAAGAACACACACACACACACACTGGAGTAGCAATAATTATTATAGGATAAACACACAGAGAGAGAGCAAAAACACACAAAACACACATTAACATTAAGAAACAAAAAAAAGAAGAGATAATCCCAACAGGTGTAAAGATTAGTTAGACTGTAGGGATTGCATGCAAAAAGAAAAGAGAAAACAAAGGATGACCTGAGTCACACCACCACCACCATTACAATTAGTACACAAGAATACAGGCCAGTGTAACCACAATCAGTAGTGGCACACGCACCCACACAGAACTGCTGATACTGCTGCTGCTGTCTGCATCACCCTTCTTGTTGTTTGTGAGTTCAGGAGGAAGTGTTGTTGTTGTGGTGGTGGTGGTGGTGGATTGCTCATTACGGGTTGTTTCACTCTCTGCAGGGTTCGCAGCAACATTAGTTTCATTATCAGTCGGATTATTTTGAGCATCAGCTGTGGCCGAACTGCTGTGTGAAGTGTCACCTGTATTAGGAGTTGTGCCAGTGGATGATGGTTCTTGCCCTTCAGCAGTTCCTGACGTTGTTGTGTTTGTGTTCTCTGTGTTTTGTGAATCAGTGGATTCTGTTTGTGATGGAGATGTGTGGTCGCTTAATGGCTTTCTATTTGGGTGTGATCCAGATTCTTGTACAGAAGAAGCTTCACCTGGTTTAGCTTCTTGTGATGGTTTTAATGCCTCCTGCTTGTTATTTCCCAGTTGTTTCTGTCTTTCCCCTTCTTCTTCGTTAACATGAGAATCACTTTGTTC